GAATCTGTGCCCTACCCAGGATTTCTGATTCAGTATCTCTGGGGTAGGCCCTGAGAATTTGCATTTCTAAGAGTTTTCCAGATGAAACTGCTGGTCTGACAATCACTCTTTGAGAACCACTGTTGTAGTAATTCTGTTTCACACAATAGTAAACTTTTCTTTGTTGAGTGAGGAGCCTTATATTTTGTGGGCTCTTCCTAAATGTTTGGTTATTTTTGAGGGTGTGTACCCCTCAATAGGGTATTTGAGGTCCCTGATGTCCAGTGTGCTACGCATATTTGTTTACTACAGCCTTACCACAGTGGATTTAGGGAATGGCCAAGCCTTGATTCTGGAAGAGAGATAGTTTTCTGAAGAGGGAGCTTCTCTTCATCCTGGGTGTCGCCAGCCTCTGGGACACTAACTGTTCTTGCCTAGAGGCAAATATTTTTGTTGCTGTTTACCTAAATTGTTCTAGAGAAGCCTGTCCCTTTTGCATTTCTCAAGCAGTCACCTTGTCAGTTGCCCTAACACCCCTTCTGCTCATAGGATCCACTGATTTAGGGCTTGAAGCTGTCTTATAGAATCTTCTGTATTTTCTAGCTTGCTTTCCACCTTTCCCGTGCATGATTAGGCATAGATTCTTTCTTCAATTTATTCTGTCTCCTTTCTTGAAGGGATTTTTCATAGTTTCTGTTCCTTTGGAGGACTGCTTTAGTATGATTCAGTGTCCTTATTGATTTCTTCTTATATGATTTTCTGTAATTACCAAGGATTAGGATATGGTAAAGGGATGAGTCAGCATATTCTCTGTCCTCAGTTTTGATCTAGCCTCTCCACATTTTATTTTTATTTATGAGTTTAGTAAATACAAATATAAACTCTCTCAGCTGCATTGCAAGTTTCTTGAGGATCTAGTATTATACTATAACCTCAGACATATTTATATTTCTCAAAATTTAATAAATACTTGTTTGCGTAAGTCTCTCCTTTATCTAACCTGCCTTTGGTGGCTTCTATACATAACCTACCTGCCTTGCATTTATTTAACGAAATTTTGTTTTAAATATGAGCCTAAGCTAATGATAGTTAAGATAAACTAGAGACAGTATTTAGAGCAATAATAGTATTTATTGAAGACTTGTGATATATCAGGGTTAAGCTAAGGACTTTTTATGCAAAACAAACCCAAATCAAAAAAACTAGTGAGTAGCAGAGGGAAGATTTAGACCAAATTTTACTCCAGAGCCTATGCTCTTAAGCATTGTACTAACTGCCTCCTAGGAAGGCGTATTTGCTAGATTTCAAAGCCAAATTGCTGATGTGCATTATCCACAGCTTATATGTTCTAATGTGTGTGAGATACCTGGCATAGAGCTAAATCTAGACTCTTGGTACTTTTTAGTAATTACTACATTGGAATAGAAATAATCACCATTGCCTTTTGTTATTATCTGATATAGTTGATAATAAACACTTTTTATTTCCTTTTAATTTAACTATAGGTAATAGTGCTACAGACTTACTATAGACAATGGCATGCTAAAGTTGTGGTAGAGAATTTAAAAAGACAGAAAATGTTAAGATTGAAGTGGGAAGCAGAGGAAGAACTAAGGAAGATACGAGATAAAGAAGAATGGATCAAATTGGACTATTACCGGAGGCATAATCCTCAAACAAAAGAAGATTTTGAACTTCTTTATAATGCACTGGAACGTAAGTTTGAAATAGCCTTTGCATAAAATACTAATTTTATAATTTTTCACTAGTAGGAAAAACAAGTTTACTAAAGACAGAAATAAGACCTTATTATTTCAGGATGATGTCTTGGGAATCTTGGACTGGAGAATTTAAAGAGATAAATAATGTTTTACATTTGGGACAGGAATTAAGGCAGGAATGAAATTGGGAAAACTGTTATATTAACAATGGGTAAATAAAATGTGCATACTGCTCTGTAAATTATGTGGTTTTAGTATTTCATTTGATCATCCTTGTGAGGTAAAAAGAGAAAGTATTGTCCAATCTGGTTCTCTGATCGTCTTAGGAATTTGTAAACTCAGAGTTGAGCCATTTGGAATCCCTCACTTCAACATCCTGTCTCTGATTCTGCTCTTTAGAGGGGGGATGGGCTATACCTTTTAATTCCCACCCATTAATGATCAGTATAAATGTATATTCTCTACACAAGTGTCTTTTATGCCTTATTTCTTCCACAAGAGGTGTGCTAGTCATTGACACAATTAAAAGCTTCAGTGACTTGACTGGCCAAGCACTGCCTCCTCAGGGCAGAAGATACACTGTTCTTGAAGCCTTTTCCCATTGCCTCCTTCCAATCTCAGCTGAAATTTTGTCGCCTACTCAGAGGCTTCTGTGACTGACAGTAGAACTTGGATATCCTGTTGTCATCACGGTTCCCACAGTACCCCAAACTTTTCATTTATGTCACCACCACAATTTGTAATAACACATCTTTTTGTTTAACATCAATTTTCACCACTGGATTGTAAGCTCCATGAGAGAATAACTTAGTTTGTTGTTAGGTTTGGTTTTTTTTGTTTTTGTTTTTGTTTTTTTTTTTGATGATCTCTTTTCTGTGCTTAGTTCAAATGCCCAACCAATATTGATAGAATGAATGAGTGGGTCGATGAAGGGGAAACACAAAGATGTTGTAATGGAGCCATCTCTAGCTTGAGTAACAGAACATATAATTGAATACAATTTTAGGTGTCAGATATTGGGTCTGTTTAAATAGCTATATGGTAACACGCTATTTACCAAAAGATGAAACAATTAAACACTAGGTCTAACAAGCAACATTAATAAATTTTTCTCTTTGGTAACATGCAAAATTGAGTGGCTTTAGGAATGTCCAGTGTTTGAGGTAATAGCCTTCTCCCTTGGCTTTACATCTGCCTTCCCTTTCTCCTAATCGTTGACCTCTGCAAATACTTTGTTTTACTTTAAACTTCACTTCTATTTTCATTTTCTCTCAGATGAAAACAAAGTTTCTTTCTAAGTGTTAAGAGTTAAAAGCACTGTTGGCAAAGTGTCTGTGAAAGATCTTATTAACAAGCATAAAACTAAAGTTCTGTTACAGGAGAACTCTATTCAAATCGTTTTCCAAATTCACATATGAACAAATCAAAGGATATTATTGTTATTTTTTTCAGTTGACAGGCAGTTGTGCAAAACAACAGAAAATATACTGAATGAGGTTCTTCTTTTTCTACTTATTAATGGCTATTAACTTGGACAAGTCACTCACTTCTCCTAAGCCTCAGGTTCTTCATCTATAAAAGGATTTAATTATCTCTGGCATATTTACTGCACAGGCTTTATAAAGTGAAAATAAATATTGCATTTATGAAAGTACTTTTGGGGTGCCTGGGTGGCTCAGTCGTTAAGCGTCTGCCTTCGGCTCAGGTCGTGATCCCAGGGTCCTGGGATCGAGCCCTGCATCAGGCTCCCTGCTCAGAGGGAAGCCTGCTTCTCCCTTCCCCACTCCCCCTGCTTGTGTTCCCTTTCTCACTTTGTCTCTCTCTGTCAAATAAATAAATAAAATCTTAAAAAAAAGTACTTTAGAAGTTCAAAGACTTATGCATATATAAGTTACTGTTATATGGTAAAGAATTTTATACAGATTTTCTATATTAAAATGGAACACACATACTTTGTATGTCTACACATGATTTGTGTGGGAGAAAATGAAATTTCTTACATAAAAAAAGCATTTCTTAGTTTTCTTCCAGCCCTAAAATTATAAATTAAAGCTCTCAGATAAGTTGTTTTGCTCTTGTCTTTGAAACTGCTGCCCTCTTGTGGCTCCTAGTGACAATTGCCTAGTTTGAATTACAACTCCTAATAGAAGTTTTATTTTTCCTTTGGGTAATATATCCCTCAGTAATAAAAGCAAATTATATCATTTTAAGAAAATGAATCTAACTATGTATGAAAATGAATTTAACTATGTAAGATAACATAATGGATCAAAGTCAAGGCCATTTCCTGGTAACACTATTTTATTTTTGTTTTTCTTCTTTTTCTTTTTTTTTTTATTATGTTATGTTAATCACCATGCATTACATCATTAATTTTTGATGTAGTGTTCCATGATTCACTGTTTGCGTATAACACCTGGTGCTCCATTCAGTACGTGCCCTCTTTAATACCCATCACCAGGCTAACCCATCCCCCCAACCCCCTCCCCTCTAGAACCCTCAGTTTGTTTCTCAGAGTTCATAGTCTCTCATGGTTCATCTCCCCCTTCAATTCCCCCCCCACAGCAGTATGTTGAAGGTGTCTCCTTCATTGATATGAATTGTCACTCTTACTTCAGATTCAGCATAAGAGTCATTATCTTTAGGAAACTTCTCTTGACAGCACGAATTAGGCTCAGAGCCTCTTTTCCTTGTCCATGATTCTCTGTAAACACCACTTTCTTTTTTTTTTTTTTAAAGATTTTATTTATTTATTTGAAAGAGAGAGAATAAGAGAGAGCACATGAGAGGGGGGAGGGTCAGAGGGAGAAGCAGACTCCCTGCTGAGCAGGGAGCCCGATGCGGGACTCGATCCCCGGACTCCAGGATCATAACCTGAGCCGAAGGAAGTCGCTTAACCAACTGAGCCACCCAGGCGCCCTGTAAACACCACTTTCTTAACTGTCTACATTTGTACCAAGGGCTCCTGATAAGGTCCTTGCTCATTATATCTGGTAAATATTTGTTGAATTGAATCCGCTAACCCCTTGCCTTGTTTTAACTTGTGCTGATGGCATTTTCTGACTCTTCTCTAATCATTACTTCTTGATCTCAAGGTACCTTGACAGCTAGCTTCTGGAGTCCATTGACATAATCTGGCTCTGGGCGTTCAGTCTGAATCTTTCTTTGTTCTCTCCATTCAGGCTTTCAGTCTGTGAATGAGAATTTTATTTATTTATTTATTTATTTATTTATTTATTTATTATATTTTTGTTTAAAACAATTTTTTATTGCCTAGGATATTTTTTTTCTTGTGTCTTGTTTTTTTTTTTTTGCTTGTTTTCTTTTTAAATAACTATAAATTCAAGCTTAGGGAAGTTTGCTTTGCCTTGAAAAAACAAAACAAAACAACAAAGCTGTTCTATCATTTGCTAACCTGATCTCATTTGAAGAGAGAGATGGTAGTTATCTTGCAAGAGTAAAATTTATACCATGAATGATGCAGGTCTAAGTCTGGTGGCACTAAAAGGAGACGATAGCATTGTTGACAAAATTATAATCTGCTGGTGGCATTTGCGCAAAAGAAGCCCTTGCAAATTTCTAAATAACAGTAAACTCAGTTAGGAAATTCTAAAGTGTCTTACAGGCCAAAAAGGGAATGAGGTTAGTAAAATGCCTCAACAGAGTTTGAATAAAATACTGGGTTTGAGAGTTACTGGAACTTGGATATGTAAAAACAGGGTGGTAGGCTGGGTCATGCTTACAATGGTGTAAAGTTCAAATAAACTACTGTGACAGTACACCACTTCACAGGTCACACGCTTTTCCACTTCTCCGGGGCTGTTCTTCCCTTCAGTAGGTGCTGGCAGAAGGCGTGCTCAGTCACTTTCCAGTACAGATGCCTAGGCCCAAAACCAAAACATGAGAGAGGAAGAGAGACGGAATGAACACCTTAAGGAATTCTGCGGAGAAAATACCCGCTTTCTTCATGGCCCCACTTTTCCTCATGCTTAAAGAGACAGAGCTTTTGGGGTGTCTGAAGTGGAGCTCCTTAGGTGGAATGTTTTCAGGCCTATTGGACCAGTCGGACACCCAGTCGACGCTTTTTTCCGAAGCATCAACTTCTTTCTCTCCTTCTGGAACTTCTTCTTCTGACTGAGGGCTATGGTCCCTGCTGGTGTGCATGTCCTCATCAAACATAATCTGCCCATCTTCTTGTGGGGAAGCGCTGTCACAGTGAGAGCTGGCTCTTGAACTACTCTGTCCTGATTCATGTTGTGCAATCAAAAGAATCCTCTCCATGTCTCCATTGTGGATAGAGGATGAGGAAGGTACATGTTCTAGCTCCCCATTTTTCTCATTGCCATTATCATTGCCATTGCTGCTGTTCGTGGGTAGCTTCACCCAGGAACTGTTGAGGCCAGCTGGCGGGGGCAAAGGCTGTTCGCCTTCCTCACAGTTGTTGTTGTGTGGGGGCGGCGGCTGCTCTACTAAATGAGAGGACATTGTCAGGCAGCTGGAAGAGCTGTGGCTGCAGCAGGACCGCCTCTGGTTCTCCGGCAGCAACACAACAAGCTGAGTCCCCCACCCCCTTTTCTGCTCTTTGTGAATGAGAATTTTAAAAGCAGATGCATATAAACTGCTAGTGATGGACAAAATCTTGTATGTTCTGCTATTTCTTATTTGGAAATCGCGAGTTTAAATCTCAGAAATTTTAGAATGTGGGACGCCTGGGTGACTCTGTCATTAAGCATCTGTCTTCAACTCAGGTCATGATCCCAGCGTCCTGGGATCGAGTCCCGCATCAGGCTACCTGCTCCGCGGGAGCCTGCTTCTCCCTCTCCCACTCCCCCTGTTTGTGTTCCTTCTCTCCCTGTGTCTCTCTCCGTCAAATAAATAAATAAAATCTTTAAAAAAAAAAAAGAAATTTTAGAATGTGTGTAGACTTTAGGATTAGTCCTATTTTTTTTTTTTTTATTATTTGAGACAGAGAGAATGAGAGAGAGAGAGAGAGAGCACATGAGAGTGGGGAGGGTCCGAGGGAGAAGCAGACTCCCTGCCGAGCAGGGAGCCCGATGCGGGACCCGATCCTGGGACTCTGGGATCATGACCTGAGCCGAAGGCAGTCGCTTAACCAACTGAGCCACCCAGGCGCCTCTAGTCCTATTCTTTCATTTTATAGTTGAACTTCAGTCCCTGGAAACTGGATGATTTGTCCAAGAAGATAAATTAAGGAGATAAAATAGATATATTCTTTCAAATGAACTAGTTCCTTAATATTTTTTTCTTTAAAAATATTGGTGGCTATTGACATCTGTTATGGACTGAATTGTGTTCCTCCAAAATTCATATGTTGAAGTCCTAACCCCCAGTACCTCAAAATATGACTGACTTTGAGGACAGGACCTTTGAAAAAGTAATTCAGAAAAAAATAAGGTCATATGGACAAGCTCTAACCAGTATGACTGATGTCCTTATAAGGAGAGGAGATTAGGGGACACACACACACACACACACACACACACACACACACACACACAGATCATGTAAAGACTTTGGAGGATGGTGGCCCTTTAGAAGCCCAGGAAAGAGGCCCTGCGCTTAACCCTGCCATCACCTTGACCTTGAACTCCTATTTTCCAGAACTGTGAGGACATCAATAAATTTCTGTTGTTTAAGCCACCCAGTCTGTGGTACCTTGTTATTGGCAGTCCTAGAAAACTAATTCAGTATTCCAGTTTTGTTTTTATTTTTATTATCATCATCCTTATGGAACATATGTTTTATGAAAGTGGGCACAATTTCTCTTGTTTTCTTCAATGTCTTTTCTGTATAGATCTGGAAACTGTTAATTCAGATAGAAAATAAGTTTTGTCCATCTACTCCTGATTTCTGTGTGTTTCTATTCCTTATTGGTAGTTAGGACATGGTATTTCTCTGATGTCATGTTCTATTCCTTATATAGATTTACAGGGTGGTTGTTCATCTAATGGAGAATTTTATTGGAATTAAAGCCCATTATTTTCATTTCTAATTAGCTTCACTGGATTGTTCCCTTTTAAAAAATCATACTAATAATTTAAGCAAAATGTAAAGTCTGAATATATATGAATATAAGTGAATTTGAGTACATATATGTATATATCTCCAGATTCACCCAGGACTTAAGTATTAATCTAGGAGAGCAATATATTGCTATTTGAGGTTGGCGGGATAGCTTAAGTAATGTCCTAGTGGCTTAAATTTATTACTGGTCCCAAAGGTTTCTAATGTAAAACTGGAAGTAAAATAGGCTTACTTATATCATTCAATTTTTATTTGCTTTCTGGAAACATCTATATAATCCCAGGAGATAAATATTCTCAGTTATTATTTCTACAAGCAAGCAATTTTTCTCTTCATTCATATACTGCCTTTGGATATATGGATTTTGTCAAATTTTAAAGTTTTTTTGGTTGTGAGAACTACTCTTAAAGGATAAACTCATCAATCATAGATTTCCTGGACTTTCATAACATAATTTAGCCCTTAAATTTACAGCCCTTTTGCTGAAGACAATTTAGCTTTTAAATTTAAAAATCTTCTTTTTGAACAGATGAAGCTGTGCAGTGTCTGAATAGTATATTCCCAGTAAGGGACAGAGTGGATTCTTATAAAGAATATCACTGCATGTCCTTGGCCTGATCAGGATGATTTCAAATTGAAAGTTGAGAGGAAGAAGAAGTAGTTTGATAAAACTTTAAAACTAGATATCATCAAAGGCAGTGGTTATAACAGAAGAAGACCAGAAACAACTATTAGAGAGAGCATGAGTTGGGGGGGGGCAGCGGGAAGGGGGAGGGCAGAGGGAGAGAGAATCTCAAGCAGACTCCTGGTTGAGTGCAGAGCCCCTCATGGGGCTTGATCCCAGGACCCTGAGATCATGACCTGAGCAGAAATCAAGAGTCAGCTGCTCAACCAACTGAGCCACCCAGGTGCCCCTAAAATAAATCTTTAAAAAAAACAATAATCATTATTTTTAAAACTAAGAAATTTGAGTCATCTGACAGGGGAATTTAGCTGGAAAGGTAAAAACCAATTCAGTGATAGGTATTTTTCACATATATCAAAATAGTTAACACATTTATATATATATGGGAAATATATATATATCAAAATATTAACCACATTTTTGTATATGTATGTATATATATATACACACACACACACACACACAGGAAGGAAATAACATGTTACCCTCTGTGTATCTTCTTTTGTGGGGGGTATCTTCCTGGGGGAAGTTACTTTTTTTTTTAACATTTTGTTTTATTTTTTTCATCATAAGTGTACTCCTTTTCCTTTCTTTCTTTTTTTGAGTAAGCTCTACACCCAAGGTGGGGCTCAAACTCACAACCCCAAGATCAAGAGTTGCAGGCTTCACCAAATGAGCCAGCAATAAGTGTATAATCCCCATCACCTGTTTCCCTCTCCTCCCACACACCTCCTTTCTGGTAATTATCAGTTTGTTCTCTAGCGTCTGTTTCTTGGTTTGCCCCCCTCTTTTTTCCCCTTTATTCATTTGTTTTGTTTCTTAAATTCCACATATGAGTGAGATCATATGGTATTTGTCTTTCTCTGACTGCCTTATTTTGCTTACATAGCAAAAGCAGGTATTCTCTTGAAGGGGGGTCTAAATAGTACATGTTTGTGGCTGCTACAAACCCAAACCATATATTTTTCAATCCTGGGGAGAGCATGTGCTTACTTGGAGGCATAATTTGACATTACCTGAGCTGATTTCCTTTGGCTTCTCTTTGTTTGACTCTAATTTTATTTCTTTAAGTTTCTCAGCTTCCATTTTATCCTATTTTTTTTATATGTCAGGTGCACAGTATGAACGCTTATATTCGTGTGTAACTTTATTTAAATTGACATAAAAATAAAATACTGTTTGTCAGGATATGATGGTAAAAAATTTTCTGAAAAGATGTGGGATTTTAAAGACTCAAGAGTCATTCATGTTATTCTTCTAGTCTGGCAGCAAGAAGAATTTGCACGCATTAACCAGTCTTTTACTGGAGCTGAAAGGAAAGCTGCTTTGTGTGAACTTCTGGAAAAAGAGACCCAGATAATTGCTTCCATTGGGAGGCATAGATACATCGCATATATGGCAAACCGGGAAGCATCGATACAAGCATTTTTGGATAAGGTTAGTAAAGTAACAATTATTTAAGTAAGCATGTATCCTGAGTTTAAAAATGTAGAATAATCAACTAAAGAAGAGACTTAAATTGTATGAATTTGCATGTTTAAACTTTGTGTGTGTTTCTTTTTTCTTTTTTTTTTTTAAGATTTTATTTATTTATTTGAGAGAGAGAATGAGATAGAGAGAGCATGAGATGGGGGAGGGTCAGAGGGAGAAGCAGACTCCCTGCCGAGCAGGGAGCCCGATGCGGGACTCGATCTTGGGACTCCAGGATCATGACCTGAGCTGAAGGCAGTCGCTTAACCAACTGAGCCACCCAGGCGCCCTGTTTTTCTTTTTTCTGATACAGTTTTAGACTTTTAACTGTGGCCTAGACTAACAGTTGACAATTAACATGAAATTACTATGTTCTTTTTTTTTCAGGTATATATATTTTTTAAATTTTATTATGTTAATCACCATACATTACATCATTAGTTTTTGATGTAGTGTTCCATGATTCATTGTTTGCGTATAACACCCAGTGCTCCCTTCAATACGTGACCTTAACTAAAAAGTTTTGGCCATGAAGGAAAAAATGAAGATACCTTCCTTGTGACTGTTCATTTAGCTTTAGGCTGGATATGGAAGTTAGATGAATTGCATACCCTGATGAAATGGAGAGTTATTGAAGTCACAAAATGTCTGGGTTCGGGATGCCTCATAGAAAGCAACCTGGGGAAAAGAGCTATAGACTTGTGTTTTTGCTTTTGCTCACCAGGTCATTCATTAATTGACTAGAACTTTCTGATCAAAAGCATATATGATTATTGAAAACCATGAAAACATACAATTAAGGGAAAAACTGATTATCTTTTTGTGTTGAAACTGCCTGTTTGATATTGATTGCATAGCCTGTTTCCATAGTGACCAATCTCCTTTTGTAAACCCGATCTTTCCAGACAATTAAAAGCCAATCCAGACACAAGAAGAAAAGGGATAGAGTTCTTCAAGATCTTTGCCTATAGTGACTGTAGTTGTAAGATTCTTGTTATTTGAGAACATTCATTCTTAAAAACCATGTTTTTTTTTTGATACTATAAATGCCCTCCTCTCATTTTACTAATACACTCTCCTGTTAGATCTCAATTTTTCTTGTGGCTTTTACTACTACCTACAGCCTGGAACTCCCTGGAGGTCCAGACCAGACCTCTCATAGGAGCTTCCAAATCACATATCCAATTGCCTATTGTTATTGCTCTCTGGGTGTCCCAAGAGTACACCTTAAGTTGACATGTCAACACTGAAATTAAATCATCTCACCATTCCCTGGCCCCTCATCTCCAAACTGATCCTGTTTTGTAGCACTCACATAATTTATCTTCATGAA